GGCTCTTACTGGAGTGTCCCCCCTTGGTACTAGGAAGTTGCTCGCTAAGTCCTCTGACAACAGTTTCCTGTGTTAGTTAAGACTCTTTGCAAGGCACAGGAACCAAACCAGACTCAGGTCAGCAGAAAACCAACACCAAAGATGGGAAAGATCTAGAGGGAGATTTGTCACTCAGCAGCTGGCCTAAGGCCACGTGGCACCGTCACAGCCCCTCCCTCCTGTTCCCTGGCCCCTGTGCCTCTGCTTCTGTGTTAGGGTCCCCAGCAGCACCAGGCTTTCCCTGATGATTCCAGCAAAATTCCTGGGAGGTCTTGCTGGTCCTCTTGGGTCAGGTGTCTACATACAGGACAATCCCAGTGGTCGGGCCTGGCTCAGAGGTCCACCTGGACATGGAGGAAAGAGTCATCCTTGTTCTGAACCACCTTGACCAGGACAGTGGGTGGACATGTGAGAGTCAAGGAAGTGTCCACCCACTCTGCTGTGTGACCCTGTGCATCCTGAATTTGGTTCCAAACTGTGATGTTACTGTTTACTTTGGTGACCTCCCAGGCATTGCGACCCAAATTATCACAGTTCTGGACTCTCTCTGTCTCTGTCTCTGTCTTTCTCCATCTCTGTGTCTCTCTCATATATAATTTATAATATACATGAAAATAAATGCAGAGCTCTGAAAATCTGTATTCATCTCTTTACCTAAACGATTTTCTTCCACCAGTGGCTACGACATACTTTAGGAATCACTGACCTAGTTCACCCTCATCTTTAGCCAAGGACACCAGCCTAGCAAAGCTAAGCAGTTTACACAGGGCAGAGGGGAAGCATCAGAGATGGGATGAGAAGCCTGATCCCAGCCCTCCACCAGCTTACTTTCTTAAAAGACTTTTTTAGTTTCAATGGACCTTTATTTTACTTATTTATATGAAGTGCTGGGGATTGAACCCAGTGACTCTCACGTGCTAGGCAAGTGCTCTACCACTGAGCTACAACCCCAGCCCTCCACCAGCCCACTTTTAATTCCCCAAAGCAGCTTGGTGTGGCAGCTCTGCCCCTGAATAGCTCTGTGTCCTCGGGCAGGCTGTTGGCCTCTATCTGCCTGTGGTCCCACCTATAAGATGAGGGGCAATAAGTTGCATCTCCTTCATGGATTTGTTCTGAGGATTAAATACATTCACATTTAGGAACCACTTAAGAAGACACCTGGTAAGTGGTAAGCGTTAGGGGTATTTGTTCAATGAATTGTCACAGGAAATGTGAGTTTGCAGTTCACACTTCAAATTCCCAGGGGGAGGAATTCAGATTGTTCCAGGTTGGGTCAGATGCCCACCCCTGGGCCAATCAACTATGGCCAGGGGGTGGGGTCGCATGATTGGAAAATGGTTCTGCCCATTGCAGGCAGGTGACAGGGTCTGGGTAGGCCCAGGGAAGGGAGGGAGGAGCTAGAGAGAAGGTGGAAGGTGTCACCCGTCAGTCTTGTGTGGAGGGTCCACTCTGGTGGACACTGGGAGGGTCACCCATCCTGGTAATTTTTAAGCTTGAATTCATGGGGACTTGAAGACAATTGGGAACCAATTATCAAGAACTAAGGTGTCTTATTCTCCTCTTAGGAAGGAGGATGGATGGAGAGGTGGGTGGAGCCAGCCCTGCCTGATGCGAAGATGGGAAGGAGAAGGGGAAGGAGCCAGGGCCTTCTTCTCTCCAAGTCTCTTTCACCAAGATGAAGTCTGGATTGCGGAGAGGCAGGAGGGGGAGCCCCGGGGCTTTGCTGGGGGTTTGGGCAGCTGGGAGGAAGAGGGCTGTTCCTGGAGAACTTGGGACTGCAAGATGTCATCCACATGGAACGGGGTGGAGAAAGCCCAGCTTTGGAGATGAGTTGTGCTCCTGGGACCCAGCAAGACATTGTCCCCTCTTCCAGGAACCAGTGTGAAGGACCACTCTGCTATGCTTTGTGTGTCAGGCCATATTTTGCCTGACTACTCTTCTGTGTTTGTTAAAAAGTACACACTCCGCCTCTCCACGCACACTGTGCGCTCCTTGAACATGGGTGTTGCTCAAGGTACCATTATTCTCTCCTTTGTGGTTACCATTAAGCACCAGGTCAGGAGCAGCCGATGTCAACTGAGTGATTCACAGCAAAACTCTGCCACCTCATCACTTGTTCATGAACCTCATTTTGGCCAGTAGGAATAGGCGAAAAGTTCATAGGTAAAACAATTAGGGAGCCATCACTTGAGACAAAATTGACACATTTGGGAATTTCAGAGATGCTTTCCTATTTCCAACTAATGTTGTGAACTTAGCAGCCCAGACACTTTGTCAAGTTAAAAGCACTAAATGTCTCTGAGAAGGGGTTTTATCTCAAGAAACCCTGACAGCAATGTTTTTTCTTAAAAAGAAAAATGTTCCATACACGGCCTGTTATGTAAGTTTATAAGCATGCCTACCCATACGAAGGCCATTTTGACAGAAGGGACATTTCGGCTGTTCCATGAGACCAGCAATGACAGCGCCACCTTTTGTAGTGAATCCCCCTCTCTAGATATCCCCCTGCTTAGAAACTGGGTCTTTCTATTCAGGCTCCAACTCCAAGCACAGCCAGATCCCATTCATAAAGATCTGTCTTCTTTCCTGACGAGAGGTCATCTGTTGTGGGAGCTGGGTTGAATTTTTCTTCAAATCAGCCAACTTTCTCCTCCTTAACAGCCTCTAAATCAAAGATTCTCAAAGATGGCAGTGGGGACAGAGTTGCCCTCCAGGGGACACTTGACAATGTCTAGAGACATTTTTTTTGGTTGTCACAACAGAGAGGATGCTGCTGTCATCTAGCAAGCAGAAGCCAGGGATCCTGCTAAATATAAAGCCCAGGACAGTTTCCCACAACAAAGGATGCCCCAGCCACCCAAATCAGAGAGTGTCCGGGTTGAACCACCCTTCCCCAAATCAACAGCAATGCCGGCAAAATGCTGCGGAGATTAAGCAGAGTGCACGTGGGGCTTTTAAAAGTGCTCTTCAGTTTCATGTTCCCAAACAGCAAAAGCATAATCAAATGCCCATAGGAGCCTGACCAACTTGGAGGTACCAGGGATAGAAACATTTAGTTTTTCTGATATTCCTGCCTCAGTATTTTTTTTTTACCAGTTTATCCTGGATTAGCCTGGTTTGATTTACCTTTGGGCTTGAAAGAAGCTAGTGCATTTCTTAAGAAAATGTTGTTTATAACAACATCTTCCTGCTAATTAATTCTGGCCTCTCCTCCGTGAGTTCCCTGTAAGTAGGATTTCTCCATCTCTCCTGGACACACAGGACACCTGCCAAGAGAGGAAAGGCTAAGAGGAATCATTGTGATTCGGAGCTACCCAGTTTCAAACTCCTTTGAGTCTGGTGCCAGCCTTGGCTAAAACACTGTCCCCTGAACAAATGCTGTTTAAAAATCCGAGGCAGCTGCGTGGGAACGAAGTCCAAGATGGCAGAAAGGACAATGGGCTCCTGCTGGCTTCCCGCCCTCTGTGTTTTGATCAGCCAAAGCCTTGATTCTCCGACCCTTCTGTGTGGAGCCAGATGAAAGCCAGTGTCGGCAAGCATCCTGTTTGTGATGAAGGGCTGTTTACTCACAGAATGGCAAGATGGGGAGCCTCGCCCAGGCCTCCAGCAAATGGCCAGATCTGGAATTGCTCATGGGGAGAGTGGACGGTGCCAACACTGTGTCTGCAAGGACCCGTCCCGGGGAGTCAGTGGTTGGGTAGCATGGGGTCCCCCTGAGGGGCAACGCTGCGTCCTTGGGTGTGCATCCTCGACAGGGCTGCGGTCCAGGAGGGGAGGCCAGGGGAGGGTGCCAGAGAAGGAGAGGCCCGGGGTGTGCAGGTGGCTCGTGGGCTCAGCTGAAGAGTGGATCGGCTGGAATTGCCACTTGATCAGCTACACAGAGGGGCAGTGGGGGTGAGGCCAAGCTCAACCCCTGGGACCTGAATCCCACGGGGGAGTTTGCCTATTTCTCTACCCATCCACCTGCCCTCACCAGGTTCCTGATGGGGGGATCCTGGGAAGCTTGATTATGCTTCTGCTGCTTTGGAACATGAAAATGTTTGATCCTGAAGGAAGGATCAGTAGCCAATCCCTGACCTGGGCAGTATGATGGACCCGAGAGCCTCACCTTCTCACAGTGGCCCAAAGCCCAGTGCTGCCCTCCTCAGGGACACAAGGAATCATCCACAGCTACTCTGCTGAATGTGAGGCTGGCCCAGGAGGAGAAAGCCCCAGGGGCTCTGCCAGCTTCTCTTCCACAGGGCAGCCTTGGCCCTGTCTGGGGAGCTGGCCCCCTGCCCCACAGGCCCAGCAGAGAGCAGCAGGAACCTCCCTCCCCTGGCCTGGGGTGGGAGTCCCCTCTCATGGCCACTACCACTCCCTTCATTAGGGGGTTTCAAAGCAGCTTAAAAACATTTCCCTTCACATCGAAGCATCATAGAAGCCGAGCCCATAGCCTTACTTACCAACCACACACATTATTCACATTGTTCCAAGGGCCTTCGGTGATTCATCTGTACAGGTAAATGCTCTTAGGTAGTTGTAATCAGGGATCAGATATATTTCATTCAGAATTATATCCTGTATATTTTTCCAAATTTCTACCCTATGCCTAAGTTTTTTTTTTTAAATTGCTTCCTACACCATTGAGTTAATTACACTGAAATTCACATCACTTTTCTAGAATGATCGAGATTTCTTTTGCTTTTAGATTCTTGTTATCATGAAGAGGTAATAAATATGTATGTACAACTAGCTTTGGTTTTGTTTTGTTTTGTTTTTCCTCTTAGTTTGAATTATTTCCCTGGGATAAATTCCCAAGGAGTGGGATTACTAGGTCAAAGGGGATGAACATTTTTATGGCTCTTGATATATGGCCAAATTTTTTCCCCCAAAAGGTTGTATGGATTTTCATGGCCATAAGAGATGTGGGAGGGTGTTTCAGCGGGGGTGGAGGCAAGACTTCGAGTCAGGAAAGCAGGGTGTATTCGACTTTCTCCCCTCCTGCCCATGATGGATTTTAAATGTGCTGCAGCAATCCTTTGGCTATGCTACCCGTGGTTTTCACACAAAGTGCTATTTTAACGTCTCCAACGCTCTTGACGGTAATTTCCTGACATTCCTGTAGACCATTATTAGAAGATGTGAACCAAAGCACTGGTAGCAATGATGGAATCAGGGTCCATTGGATTTGATGACTGCAAGATGTGGGTCAGCCGAACCTCAAGACAAGAGAGACTCGGGTTTCTGGCAAGGATGTTGGACGCTGGAGGCTTACGGAAGTGGGGGCAGGAGGAGAAATGACTGGGGGAGACGCGGGTCACGCTGGGAGTGGCTGCTGTGGTCCTAGTCAAGAGGACAAGTTTGAAATGACAGAGATTCAGATCCCGAGTCCATCACTCAGGACCTGCATGGAATTAGCCCGTGGTTTCCCACCTTGATTCTTCCTTCCCTTATCTGAACGGGATGAACGTGCGTCCCTCGTAGAGGTGGGTGAGCCAAGCAGGGCTCTGCACCTGCCATTAAGCTGCAGCACCACGTAGGGCAGCTGTGCAATGCCACTGGAACTAAGAGAGGCCATTAAATCACCAGGCGTTTTACTACGGACGCGTTTTCCAGATGTGGAGAAGCAAGCGCACGCTGGGAGAATGGATTGTTTTAGGGTTTGGACTACGATTTCCTGCCGAGGTAGAAACCCTGCCTCTCTTACTGGTTCATCTACTGCAGGTACGTTAGGTACACGAGAGCAAGGTGGTTATTTTTCTTAAGTTTCCCTTTCAAGGTCTGAACAAGGCCACGGGCCCTAGAATCATTAGTCAATTCTGCCGTCCGTCTGTCCATTCGATTATTACAATCTTGATTGTTGGAAACTTGATTAACCACCTCCTGAGCGGCAGGTGGGCAGCTGATTGAGACTATGGACTGGGAATTCAGGGGCAGAGCGGTCAGAGAGGCTGGGGTTCAAGTCACGGCTCTGCCATGTGCGCAGCTATTTACCCTCTCCTAGTCTTTCTGTTTCCTCCTCTGAAAATGGGGGAAATAAAGTCCCTTCCTCACTGGGTTGTGATAAGAAGAAAATGCCACCTTATACATAAAGCTCGTACTGCAGGGTCTGACCTGATCCTGGCTAAGAAAGCTCTAGTTCTTAACTTACTATTGTTATTCCCATTAGGGTGGTAAAGACCAGGGATGCCAAGCTTTCGGATAGGCTTCTCTCCAGTCTTTTTGAAGTTAATTCACCTTCTGGTTATATCTGAATTAAGCTAATGCTAAAATCACTTGGCATTTGAGGAATCCACTTTCACGTCAAAAGTAGCATCCAGGGGGGTGTGTTTTCATTTGCAATGACTCGTTTCGGATGAAAACGGTTCCCTAGGCTTCTCAACCTCCTGCTTGCTAAATTGGCATCGACTTAGAGGAAAGGATTAGGGCTGCAGTCTGGAGCGTCCGCATCTCTGCTATTTAATACCCAGAATCAGGTCTTAATATCAGCACCAGATTTATGTAGCTGCTAATTGTATTTAGAGGGACCACCCAGGTGGGATTTTTTCCATTTGTTTCCACCTGCTTTGCTACACCTGCCTGATGGCCTCCTTCTGGCCCAGCGAGGACTGGCAGGTGGAGGGAGCATGGAAATCCACGGGAATATCCGTTTTACTGAGAAAACTGTAGAGGAGACCCAGGAAGAGCTGCCAGGAAATGTCTCCCTGCCACCGATTCATTCTCCAACTTGGATTATCCCAGTCTCTTGCCCCCAACCCCAACAAGAACAGATTTAATGACCCTAGTGGCTTAAAATTTCAGAGCAGGAGAATTGTCACCACCACCCATTTTTCCTTTCTGACACTGATGTTGGGGGTGAAGCCTCCTCATCTGGGGAGGTGTCCACTGACTATGTGGGCAGCTGCTGAAACATTACTAGCCACACTCCTAATTAATCCCTCGGAATCTCAGGCACATTTCTTTCTGTGCTCGGCCCCAGTGAAGGCACGTTAACAACTCCTTGCCTTCAGTTTCCAAGTGCACCTTACACCTCTGCCCACATCGCTATAATTTTTTATCAGAATGGGCCCAGTTCCCTTTGATCTCCTTTGGTTCTTAAATCCTGCAGTTGTGTGCCTGAACATCAATGGAAATGGGGTTTCAAGTTTCCTCTTTCATTATCTTACTCAAAGATTAAAATTGAAAAAAAAAAAGGGCTAAAAAAGGAAAAAAAAAATATGTCCTGAGCTTTGTAGACGAGGCAATATTTTTACAGTAATTTCTTTATCTGATTTTGTCAGATCAACAAGTTGTTTGGAAATATGTGACCACGCATGCCTCGCTGTTTTAAAGGGGACTTTTATTAAAGACAAACAAACAACAAAACAAACAAAAAAGAAACGAAGACCATCCTCTCTCCCTCGACCGTGTTGTGGGTGAGTGGTGGCATCTGTGTATTTTCAAGCTGGGCGGATCTCAGACTCTAGCTCAAAGATGAGACTCAACCCTTCCAAGGAACTACCCTATTTTTCAAAAGGAACTCTCTGTTCTTGGCAGTGTGAGGAGAATAGACTTCTAGATTAGAATAATTAAACATCTGACCCACGACTCCCAAAATGCCTGTGGCTTCATGGGCTTTGATGTGGGCAGCATACTGTAGAATGGAAAAGTACAACTTCTTCTTAGGGCCTCAGCCTCACAGAGCAAGGGAGGCCAACAATGAGGAACTCCAGGGTCTCTGGCTAGAAAACAAACAGGACCCCAGCCAGGATCTATGGGCAGGGAGAATGTGAGCAAGCATGAATCCTGCTGACCCAACTCCTTTGCTTGGCCAAAACATAGATTGCACGGTCTGACCCATCAACATCTGCAGTCTTATCTTGAACCACCCCCAGCCTCATGCTGTCCACCCCCTTGTGGCCCTTTTCCAAGTTTTTGTCCTTCTTTAGGGCCATTCCCTCTGCCTAGAATGCTTCCACCTCTTCTCTGTATATTTAACCCCTAATCATTCTTCAGCTCTCTGTGCAACTGCGAGTTAGCTAGAATAGGATGAGCTAAGCTGCAGTAACAAAATAGCCTTTGAAATGTCAATGGCTTAACACAGTAAATCCCTTTCTGCTAATATTAAAGTTTGATGTGTCTCCATAAGTCTCCCCACCTCGTGGCTCCTCGAAGCACTCACTCAGGGATACAGGATCTTCCCATTCCACAGCTCTGCCATGTTGGAAGTGGGGAAGTGAGAATATAGAAGATTGCATGGGAGATAATTGCTGGCCCTGCCTAGAAATAGCTTGTCTTATTTCTGCCATTATTCCCCTGGCTTAAACTGAACTTGAAGTCTCTGCAGCCTGATGCAGTGTCCAAATGACTGTGACACCTTGACCTTGTGTTTAGGACAAACCCAGGCAGAGCCTGGGACCCCACTGCTGCCATAGCCTCTACCTCTGGAAGCTTGATGTCCACACTGGAAGCCACATGCTGACACAGCCATCCTTAACTTAGTGGGTTCTGCGTCTTGCCCCATGTGAGTCAGCCTTCAAGTTGTGTCCCACAAAGATGTTTCTGATTGGCTGAGCCCAGGTCACATGACTTTGCCGCTGCAGCAAAGCAGTATGGGGAAGGATGTTTCTGGCTTCTACCTTTGGAAGATGAAGTCCACTGAAGGGGGAAATCACCCACATATACGGAATGTTTCCAAAGATGGTGGATGGCTACATAGAAAGGCTGCCATCCACACAGGAGGCTTCAGGTCTGACTGGAGCCTGGGTGGGATTTGGGATGATGTCAAGGGGACGTGGAGGGGACTGAACAGAGACTCCAGGAGCGAGACCAAGATCATGTTGCAATTTGTTGTTCTTCTTTTGAGAGTTTGATGAAAACCATAAGATCACAGAGCTGAAGATGATAAAAATACACTTTTTCTTTTGGCCAGGCTCTAAATATATTTCTCCCCCAACTCTTCACATTGTTTCCTACAAGTTTGCTTTGTTGTCCTCTTGAACGTATTTTTAAAAATCAGACAGCAATAGAAACCCAGAGCAGCAGATGGTGGGTGGGGAACTCGGGGCAGCTCTGGCCCACCCCCTGCTGTCCAGGCATGGAGCCCAGCGGCTTCTGCCAGGACTCGGGGCCTCCGTTTCTATCAGGCGAGACAATAGTCTGCACAGGGCCCCTTGGTCACTGGTGGGGTGCTGTGCGCTGGGAAGCCAGCCGCACAAAGCTTGCCCTTCTTCCCGCCTGGCAGGATGTACTTTCAGGAATGTCCTGAATGCCTGCTGCTGTCACCCGGGCATCTTCCAGTGATGCGCAGTGAGTAGGTGGTGGGGCAGCACGGCATGCACCGCACCGAGGAAGCTTTGGCCTCCTGGCCAACCTGCACAAGACAGGGGGTGTTGCTGAGCGGTCTTTGTTAGCAGCCAGAGCGGGGTTCAGTGAGGGGAGGAAGTCAGAAAGAGCTCCTCCTGAATCTGGCAGCAGGCTGTTTTGTCAAGGATACCCTTCAGATGAGATCCAAGGGAGAGGGAACAGACTGGCTGAAATGCGGTATAAAGCAAAGTAGTGGAGATGGGGAATGATAGAGGAAACACGGGTCTGAATTCCCTTAGATATACCTGCCAAATCTGGAAGGGATTCACAAGAGCCTTACCATGAAAAGGTCACAAATACCTTGGAGGAATGGAACAAAATGTTCTTTATTTTTCCCACTCTCTCTTACTCTTGTCTTTCCTAATGCTTCTTGGAGAGACACCTGGATGTCTCTTCTCTCTCTTTTCTCCTGTGTCAGTCAGGACAGGCTAAATATGCTGCAGTAACAAATACCCCCTCAAATCTCAATGGCTTAAAATAACAAATGTTGGTTTCTTATTTACTCTGCATGTCCATCACAGGACAGACTAAAACAGCTGCTATAATTATGAAGGTCACCAGCCACTATTGAAGAGGAGAGGGAGCTTTGAAGGGCTTCCCACTGGCAATCAAATGCTCTACCATTGCTTCTTGTATTATTTGGCATTAACTAGTTACCTGGTTCCACCCAGCAACAAGGGATCAGGGAAACACAGTCTTACATATGCAAGCCCTGGGAATATTGGGTTTAAAACACCTAAGACCACTTAATAGTCTTTCTTCTACTGCTTCCGCCAGGCTTCTCTGTTCTCTTTTGCTCTTCTTGGAGTCCCAATCCATGGAGGAATCTAAGGGTTAGATCCTTTAGGTTTTAGGCAGATTTCTTACCTCAAACCTTACACAGCACTGGAAGAAGTCATTTTGGTTTTTTCAGAGTGAAGTGTTTCCAAATTAGACATGGCTTAGAGACAGTACAGAGCAGGGTCTCGCTAAGCGTTCTTCCTTCTTCCCCAATGAAAAATTGCAATTTCAAGAAATATCTGCCATCTCCCATGCTCTTCCTACATGGGTGATGATTCTCCTATTGAGTAGTGGGGCCCATGTCCCCTCCATTAAACCCGAGAGGACCTTTGTTCACCGCTATGTGACTTCTGAGGCTAGGGTATGTAGACACCATGGATTTCCACCTTGCAGTCTGGGGTTGCTTACACATTAGGCTCTTGGAATCCAGCCACCATGTGGTGCAGAGGCCTAAAGTAGCCCACATTTAAAGATTACATAGAAGGAGGCCGTGTACAGACCAACAGCTTAGCTGAGGTCCCTGCTGACAGTGGGTATAGCCGTCTGATGTGCAGGTGACAGTAACTTTTAATGGTTTCAGGCCCAGGTGGCCAGGGCAGCCCTGGCCTCCAGGTCTTCCCGCCGGAGACATCGGGTACTGTGGAACAGAGACCGACTATTCCTTGTGTCTGAATTGCTCCCAGGGGACTGTCAGGATACTGTTACGGCTGTTCCTAGTGGGCGTTGGGTGATTTTGTTGTGACAATAGAAAATGGATGTGCTCCCCGTGTGTTGACCGGGGGATTGACCCATGCTGGTGTATGGCATCCAAGAGCATAGGGACAGAAGGTGGTGACGGTCAGATGGAACTGTGAACAAAAGGGAGGTCCCCTCTGCAGGAAACTGGAGGCAACAGAATTCTGAAGAGTAAACAGTAAGGGACTAAGAGAGATGGTCCTTCCTGACGTCTTTTCCAGGCCGCCTGTAACATTAGTGTGGGCTCAGGACAAGGGCACAAAGAGAGGCCATATACAAATAATTAAAGATAATAAATGAAACTGACAAACAGGGAAGTATGTGCCCCCCCCTATCATGGCATATGTAAGTGCAGACTCACCTGGAAGGCCACTTCTTAAATTCTTTGGAATTCCTTGTTGGAAGGTAGTGACATACGGCAGTCAGATCCAGCCCTTTCCCTGCCTACCCTCAGCTCTGTCTCCATGTCCTCCTATGTGAAATGAAGGCCCACTGCCATCTTTTCCCTTGGGTTAGTACTTGGGCTTTATCCAGTTGTCTGTCAGGGTGACTGAGGCACGTAGCAGCTGTCCTGTGGCTTAGATGGTTAACCTTCAGTGTTGAGGGATCGATCGTGTGCCCCCAATATATTCACCCCACACCCTGCTAACTACTTCTTGGCATGTGATGAGGATTAAAAGTGATAACCATGTGCTGGCATGTAGTAATTACTCAATAAACGGGAATAGTAATAATAGTATTTTGACTTTAAATATTTCAAGTGCTATCATGTGAAAGAAGACTTTGATCCATTTTGTTGAGCTCTGGGGCATATAATTAAGAGCAGAGGTTGGAAGTTACAGGAAAAACAGATTTTGGTTCAACATAGAAGACTGTTTTATAAATAAAAAGAACACTCTGAAAATAGATTGAAATCCTTTGGGGAAGATATCGAGGAGTTTCACGCGTCAGATGGGAGCTGGATTGGGTGATCTTAGAAGTTCACTTCTAATTCTGAATCTGTGGGAAGTCATCTTTTACTTTGGGTCAGAACTTGAGCTTCATCCAATTGTCTTTCTGGGTGATGCACATATCAACGATCCTGTAGCTTAGATGGTTAACATTCAGAATTTGGGTATCATGTGCCCACAATTCATTATTCCACACCATACATGTAGGTAGAAGCCCAGTAAATCTATTTGAAAGAATCAATTTAGCATCCCGGGTGGTTAGAATAGTTGGGATAATTAATGTAGTAGTTGCTGAAACTCAGCTAGCTTAACCAAAGTCTTTACTAGAAGGGTACTGGGGAGTAATATGGAATCCAAAGAAGAGTTGACCTCCAAGTGGCAAGGGGGCAGGAAAGCTGATGTGGCTCAGGGTCACCAGAAATTGGGAACTAAAGCATCACTGAGGTATCTCTTCTCTGACGCTCTGGCCTGGGCTGCCTCCTTCCTTCCCTCCCCTGACGAGCTTTGCAGCAGGCCCCCCGGTTGCCATGGACTGATATCATCCAGCCTCAGCTACCAGGAAGCCCGGCTGTCTTTTTCAGTTCCATCCTGCATTTCTGAGGGGT